TTATCTGCACATGTTACAACACTTAGGCAAATATCACTTTTTTTTCCTAACACTTACTCATATTAAATGTTGATTCAAATTCAGTGGCCTTTTCGTAAGCAGCTCCACCCCTTGGATGTTGTTGCTAAGCTAAATTCCCGCAAAGCGACAGCGTAAACGTACATGTCAATATACGTGTGTTGCTCAACAAACGCGTATTCTTGGCCGTGGTCCGATTGGTCAATTGTTAAGAGGGTTTTTTTTGACTGACACACCCGGGAAAGTCTATTGTAATCGGTAATGATCTTATACTGTATAATGGACATTATTACAGAACAGTATAAGAATGTCGCGTGCGGCCAAGCGCATCAGACTACTTCATTCATTCCCAGCTGTTACTCTGCCTTTCTGTCATAATACTCACGCCGCTCAGCTTTATTTTACGTTCTATAAGTTTCTCTTGATAATACTTTAGCTTGTATCTGCATTCTCATTACAGCAATTGGTCATTGTATCATTAATTAAATCCGATTTAAAACACTATAAAAAGATTACAATTGACGAATTTACAACATAGTTTCATGAATAGTAATTTAAATCATAGCGCCAATATTCTTTCTTCTTTATTCAAATTGCTTTATTAATCATATGAAAAACATCAAAAAACATTCGTAAAATCAATATTTTAAAAAAAAATAATAGTAACAGCCAATAATATTCAGGACTAGAAAGGATTTTTACAGTACGTTCTCTCTTTCACTTAAAATCTGCAGACGTGTCCTTCCAATTTGTAAGAATGTGTAATTGTAAGAGCTTGAGTTTGGCATTTTCGAAAAATCTCTATTACAGTCAAATATTTGAGCAACATTAGAAGACATCTCTCTTTAACTCGATCACAACGCTAGACCCCTCAAGCCTCGTAGCCGGTGCTTATCATAGAAAACAAAATATCATAGCTACTAATATATCATGATATATTTATCTAAATGGAAAATCTGGTAATACGACCCTCACGTATTTTTCAATTTTCAATCTTCCCCAGCTTATCCGGATCTATGTAATACCGTGTCGCTAGAAATAGACAACCACTAAACGAATCATGGCCTGGCCTGATGCCTGTTATACAATGCTGACTATTTGGCCAATTTCCACTGCAGTGGCACCATTGGGAATTACCTATTGTCGTTGTTGCGTTGCATTTAAAACTCGGCCAGGATAATTTAACTTAACTCTACTGGCCTATTCCGCTTTCCATGACTGACTCCGAAGCGATCGGTATTTACAATCATAATCCTCAATAATTATCTACCCGATTCTGCCTGCTACTCTTTTCTATATATTTTTCTCCTCTATCGAAGATAATATTTTTCTGAAGACTTCATTTTTGAAGTGATTTATCCAATTCAGCTCGAAGTAGCGCTCGTAAAACGTTTGTTTTCCAGATAAATTAAATTCTGAAACATGAAGCATACGTTTTCCATGGAGAATTGGCGCGAGTTCGTAATATAACATGATAAAATCAGCAATGAAATTTAATCGCAGAGATAAAAATGACAATTCGTGAGTCGATCTAATGTGCGTCTCATTAATGAGAACTCATCCAGACCAGTATTATCAAATCAGATCAAATCAGACTCTTCAAGATTAGATCAGTAACGTTAGGTACGTAAACCACGAGGCAGGGGGCGCTATATGAGGGTTATATATCAATAATTTTCTGATACCATTCCCGAATTCATAATATATCGCATTTTGAAATTTGTCCTTATAAAATGTTAGAACGTAAACTTTCCAATATTTTGTTCGTGGTATATGAAGTTATTTTTTCAACTATAAGTACAGTAAATAATAAGAGCAATAATCAAATAATAAACATTCCATATAATAGTAAACAAAATCTTAAGGAGATTGATGCCAGTACTGTATGCCAAATCTTACAGTAGCCGTATACACCGCCCTCTGTAGGCCCTATTATAGTCTGAGACAACTTTGTAATTAGTGGTCGCAGTCACAAAGATGCGAAAGTAAATTTACATAATTTTCGAATTCAAAAACATATTAGTGTTAAACTATTAGTCGTTTGCACTGTTTATTACCCGCCCATTAATGTAGAGGCGATGAAATTCTAATTCATTTTTATAGGCCCGCCCATATATTTTCAAAATTTTCAAGGATTTCTATATCTTAAATTATAGCCTATTGCTGCCTAATAATAATAATAATAATAATTAAAAAAACATACCTGAATAAATAAAACAAGGATTTACAGATATTTTACTTTAAAAATATGAATATGCTGAATGAAATGTAACGCCCTGCCCAGACAACCAGGCCTAAATATAGTCATGATGACATCACATCATGACCATTTATATAGGCACATCATAACTATATATGGCCATACAGCAGTTTGTTTTTTTTTTTTTGTTTTTTTTTAGTTGATGATCTAGTGTCATAGTACTGCACTTTTAAACTTCACGAAGACATTTTGTCTCATTCTACTTTTCTGTTTAAATATAAAAATTCAAAATATATTTTTGAAATGTTCAAGTGTACATTGCAATACACTTTAATCATATAAATTGTATATACATACATCTATACAATTACAATTTTAACTTAAAATAATATTTGTGCTTTATCCGTTTAGTTTGGATACATCTGATAACCAGGATAATCTTATGATCATTAATTTTCGTCATAATAATAATAGGCCTAAAAATATAAATAATAAAATTAGAAATAATAATAATAATAATAACAATAATAATAATAATAATAATAATAATAATAATAATAATAATAATAATAATAATAATAACAATAATAATAATAATATGATTTATATAGCACCTTTCCAAAATATCAAGGTGCTTCACAAGGACATCAGTTAATACAGTATAATTTTACAATTTGCAACAGGAATGCAATACATAACTGAAATTGAATTGAATAATTGAACAATTGAAAATACAATAAAAATATACAAAACCTTACGACAATATGAATTGTCCTAAGTTTACAATTAATACGGTATTATTTTAAATTATTTAAAATTCAATAAAATGCAAGATTTTAATTATTACTCAAGTTGATAGAAATATAGAATATATAAAAATGGCCAAAATTCAGGTAAAAAATGACAAAATGTTACAATTAATTTTCGTCATATTTTGTTTTCATTGTTATTTTTATGCTGTCTGTACTTAGTTAATTTTAATTCAGTTTGTGGTTCTTGGTATGTAAGTTACAATTTAAAATTATAACGAAAGAATATTTTCATCTCTATTAAGTAAAAGTATATATATTTTTTTCTATTCCATATTTTTTTTGCTGGTTTTAAGTGGTTAAATTGAATATTTGAAATGTTTGCTAAATTTTAAATCTTTAACTTTTTCCATACTCTGTCTCTATCGTCAACGTGAAGAAATTAATATATTTGTAAGACCCATAATTTAAATAGCCTTTATATACAGATGAATGCATACCGTTAATTATATTAACGAAATACAAGACAATACATTTAGAACATGTATATAAATATAGAAATAGATTAAATAAATGCCTATTTAGTTTTATTTTAACGTTCCAGAACGTGACAAGCGCAAAGGTCGTCGTAATACGTTTCATGATAATAATGATGATGATAATAATAATAATAATAATAATAATAATGATAATAATAATAATAATAATAATGATAATATTAATAATGGTGATGATAATGATGATAGTAATGATAATGATACATGCCAATTAATAATAATGTCAATAGGCCTATTTATTATTAATATATGAATAATAACAATAATAATAAAGTACTACTACTACTAATAATATTAATGATTGTTTTTTATTTTCGTTTTCTTTCGCAGAATCGAGAACATCTTCATACATTAAAAGATATAGCTCAACAATATGACTGTTACCTATAACGATAGACAGACACATGCGCATGCGCATGTAAATATATACCACGAATCTCATTATACTTATTCTGTGCTATTTATGAATTAATTTCATTTTTGACGGCTTCTCTTTGATTGTCCGTAAGGAACTTAACAGTTATCGATAGTTCTATAAAAAGAAAAAAAGAGCATTTCAATTCACCGTTCCAGAAATCAGGACGAGGCGAGCTATCGGACATAAAACACACTCTCATAAAAATAGCTACTAAGGAAATAAACGAAAGTAAATAATCGTAAGACATGAGTGGTTTTTCATTCTTTAAATTGATAAATCATAACTGAATTTGTATCAACAAAAACAATAAAAACGTTGCTTTTTATAGTCGAAATTGCTCCTTTTTATCTAATAATTCAATACCGTATATGCTATGTTAAAATGAGATTTTAAAAAATTTCATAATCAGCACCATTAAATTCTCACTTCAACTGTGTATTTTTATGTCAGTGTTGATAAGAGATTTTTAAGGAGTACAGTATTATACGGTCGTCGTATTTCGAGGCTATCCGTAGTTTAATATACTATTCTCTAATAGTAAAATAGTTCCCACATGATCACTTCCGCAGAGTGCTTTTTTCTATTTTTTGTATTACCTGATTTTTAAGAATATATTGACTCTTTTAAGAGTGATTTTAAACTCGAACAAGAGTGAAGTTAGAGTGATCACTGTAGGTACGCATTTAGAGTGAAATTCACTCATTTGCATAATATGCAAATGAGTAATAAAAATATCCTGTCCCATATGTCTTAGAAAATAGTATGATTGCAAGTTTCGGTACGGTAGCTAATCTCGGTTTGGCTCTAATACAAGTCGCAAACTTTAAAGTATTAACTACTATTCAGAGATCATGAATGGTGTCAATATTATAGCGTACGATAGTGTGCCTTACTGGTATATTATGATGTTCATCTCACGCTAAGTGCGTCCGCGAACAAAACACACAATTAAACAGTACCGCCCAGTTAACACTGATTTCGAACACCTTTTGTGTTGACCACGCAGGGCGGTCGGTACACTAATCTAACTTTGCCTTTCTGGCTGACTTCATTCATTTGTCGGCGTTCACACGTCTACTTCGTACTAAACAGGTCTCGGCGTACGATTTTTTCATCTTTTTCTGCTTCGCCGTAATTCAACTGGAAACTCATTCAGCAAATGAAATCAAGCTAAACCAAACACGGCTAATAAACTAATCTGATTGGTCGCCTGACTGCCTATGTCTCCTCCCCTTTGACCTGTAACGAGCCATCACCGAATGACTTGGTAGCTAAGCGAGTACGATAATTGGGTATCAAACAGGAGTGTTGGATGTTATTATATTTAATGTAAATTGCTAAAAGCAATATTCGATAACTCTTTTATCTTTTGTAACCACATCTCGCGTTTGTAGCGGAGTGTCCTGTCAGTGTGTGCGCTTCTATCTCTGGGTTTACCAAAAAGCTGCTTGAAAAAAAAATACAACAAACGGATAACAATTCACTTGCTCTTTAATATAGGCTTATTCTAATGCGGTATTTTGATATTTGAAATCACAAGTTTTTTATTTGTTACTATACTTAGTGTCCTTGAATTCATCATTGCTAAGCTAGCAAACGGAACCATGGACGCAGTTCTGGACTCAATCTATCCGCGATTTGTGTCCCGTCTTGCCATCCCTAATTATCCGTTTGCACCTCATATCCTAGGCCTACCGTCTAGGGGCTACCTGGAGAATCCGTTTCACCATTTGCATCCGAACTCGCTATCATTGAGACAAATCGAAGGATTCCCAGGACTAATGGCCAAATCGGACATCGCTAGCCCAACAACTTCGGAAGCCAGAAGTGATGACGACTGCAGATCTGGTAAGTTAGAAACTTGTGTCTAATACCAATATAACTATAGTATTATCATATTACATTTATAATATAATTATTATTATATAACACTTTGATATTCGATACATTGAGGGAATCTTTACAATATCGTGTGTGTTATTATTTTCTTATACTGATACAATATATATATAAAGATATATAGGCATATATATGTAAATATATAATGTATAACTTCTTTACTGAAATATTTTTCAGAAACAGAAAAAGAAGTTCAATTGATAAATTCTTTTTGTCGAAGCCTATTAATTTAAATTAAAAATATGGAAGTCTATTACAACATTAACACTTACTATTTATGTTTTATTTGATATAAAACCTGTTCTATTAATGCTTAATGCAATAATGCAAAATAATCTTACTTAGATATGTTCGCATACGTTTTTAAAATGGTTTATTATGTTTCATATTTTTTTCTAGATCAAATAGGGTTTCTTTTAGGCCTTTTAAACTATATTAAAATTGGGTTTTATTTACTATTTTAAAAACGAACTTTAAGAAATCTCAGCATATTTTATGATCAGCTTATGATAATAGGCCTATATAAAAAAAAATACTGTGTTTATTTAAATTACAACGAATAATAATTACGTTAGTGTGATTTGAATGCAAAGTGCTATAGGCCCAAGTGGAGGTTTGTGTTAATACAGTACCTCTCCGTGTAATTTCACGTAGGCCTAGTTCTCCTAAACACTAGTACAATCATGGAGAAAATAATTCCTCCGTGGTACAAGTAAGTAGGCTTGGCGGTAGACATACAAGTGCTATCTAGAGTCATTATGATATTTTTAAAAATCCATACATATTTTCGTTATTATCAAACTGGTTATTGAATTTATTGTGGCGATATGTAAACAGAATTACAGGCCTAAATCATAATAGATTAGAAGGAATACGAAAACTTGAAAACTCGAATATGTGAACATTGATTATGCTGATAATCTCTGTAATATTGATAATAATACAATTTTTAATAACACAACCTAGAATAGACTATGGGGCTGATTTCAATGGTCCTTTAACATAGTGTTATTTAATTGGTAGATCACAGGCTTTTATCTGGTTTTTTTTTTCTGTACTAGAACGGTCGCCATTACTCAGTTTAATGACACATTGAGAAACCTAACGTTCCACCATATTACCAACACCTTGCAATGTTTCTACTGTTATTTATAGATCCTTTGATATAATGCCCCCTCGCGAAAAACACATTAAAATAGGAAATACATCAAAAAAACATTGAGACAAAAATAAACGAAAATCTTTATATTTTGCAATATTATGAATATTGTTTTCTCTTATCCCTTTTTGTAATGTTTATCTATGCAATATCTTTTTAAAATAAAAACAAAATTCAAATTTAATAATAATTATAATTAATTATTTACTTGTATAGTATTTTTTTATATGTATTTAAGATATCCTGTAATTAGATTTACTGTAGCTGTTGGATGATGTTTGAAATAAAATAAAATAAAATAAATTAATAATTATAATACTAATGAAATTAACAGTTTAAGCATGGACCTATTAATCGTATTAATAGGTCTATGGTTTAAGAAAGCAACCATAATAAATAGACCATATACTTAGATTTGGTTACTTACATTTATAACTTTGTAATACCTTTATTTATAACTTGAATAAACTTTAAGATTTTGTTTATGGTTGAAATTAACAAATAGCCCTACACTATTTTGAATGTGGACATATTTTACAATGGACCTAATAATAAGATAGGTCCATGATTTCACTAATAACTTGTGGATATTTTGATACCATTATTCTGTCGTTACATAAATATTTCAGTCCATCTCACCAGTGGTTCATTTATTGATATGGTCTTTTTAAAGCGGAATTTTTTACTTTGAAAATATGGGGGAGTGTTTACTACAACATAAAATTTCATGTCTTAGGTCCAGGGTTGAAAAAGCCATGATTGAATGGACACATATTATACTCATATACTCAACATTTTTTTATTTGGGTGGAGGGTAGGCCTAGGGAGTGAAAATGTTTCTAGGGTAGCAGGTGGCAGTTAAAGGGTACTAAACCTATTTCTTTCCGTATAAGATTTCACGTGTAACTTTATGTCGTTATATAGATTGTATATTAAGTAATAATAATATGTGATTACCATTGTAACCTAACTAATGCCAGGGAGCACAAATACATTTTAACACAGCATTTTTAATAATGGTAATATTTTTATAGTCATGGTATTTATGTTATGAATTTTATACTTGAAATAATTTTATTTAATTGAATTATCATTATTTCAATTTATAATTGTAATTAGGCCCATACCTAATATGTTAGATGCGTCATATATGTAGTTATGATTACGACAATGCCACCAGTTTACTAAAATGTTAAGGAAGACATTTGGAATCGTCACTAATATTGTCCGTTATTCGACATTGTTTGTTTCACCGTTTTCATCGTGAACGGTTTATCTTTTAGTATTAGGCCTATTTAGGCCAAACTTTCACTCTTGGTTTCTTTATAGTGTCCTTTGTTTAGTCTTAGGTCCTCCGGTCCGGATTGTTTTGTTTTTTTTTCCACTCAGAACCCTGTGTCTGAATCCTCCTAAATACAGGGTGATAGTGATGCTGTTTTCGTTATCGTGGCCAGTTTTCCATTTGAAATAAATTGACCCCAGCGTCGATAAAGTTTTTTAAAAATATGAGAATTAAGTAAATTGAAATTTGGAGTTAAGTGTAGTTTAAGCTTTGATGTGCGCTGTTGTGTCTATGCGCCATATGCATCTTTACAGATGAATACCGGCGCACAACACATTTTATATTATTATTATTATTATTATTATTATTATTATTATTATTATTATTATTATTATTATTATTATTATTATTATTATTATTATTATTTATATCAATTGACTACGTTGATTATACATTATTAATTTCCCAATGTTTCTAATAAACGTAAATTAGACTGTATATAAAAATAGAATAAAGCATTATATATGAATGATATAGGCCTAAATTATATACTGTATATAGGCTAGGCTACATATTATTACAGAAACGTAACAGAAGAGGATATATACCCTATTACCGTGTATTCATGAGTTAATGAAGCAGCATAAAATCCCTTTAAACGATATGGACATTATTCGATATGACAAGGACTATAGCTCCGGGTTACCAACTAAGACCGATCTTTAGATCTTTGCATATTGAGCAAAAGAATATTAAGTAATAGAGGTACTAAATGTTCATCATTTATTTATTCATTTATTTATTGAAAAGAGAATTAATTACATCTACCTGCGTATTATAGGCTTATACAACATGCATCCAGGTAAAACAAGATTACCAAACTGCTGTCGCTTATTTCTGTCGATTTCACCGAAATAAATTTTCATCAGCGAAACTGGACCTATTTACGATAAATTGGATTTGCTCAATTTATTTATTTATGCAGTGACTTATTTTGTTTTTCAAATGAATCTTGGCCTTAATACGGAGCGGATTTAGTCTACGACACGACGCTAAGTGAAATTGGTATGATGCACGATCCGGTAAATAGCACAATACAAATATGTCTACCGGAATTGAATTTTATCCATGTGGATTTAGAACCGCTTTTGTTAATGTAAACATCTACTTGCTATATAATATCGGATAAGATGCGTGGTGTTAGAGCGGGGCAACGCCGTGGGATCTCGTTAACAATTAGTGTAACGTGTCATTCTCCGTGGTGCCACGGGCCAAAACAATATTTTTACTGAGAATCAATTCCCCAGCCGATTATTTCTTGTATAGTTTTTTTATTTGTGCCGATTTATATGTAGCGGATATTGTTCTGGCCTGCTGTGGTGCTCTTCTTTGTCAGCAATGAAGCAGCTCTGGCTTGGTGCAGAAAAAATGCACTATGTTAAGACAAGAAGTGAAACGCATATACCCATATTTAATATATATATATATATATATATATAAGTATATATATATATTAAGTGGATATATATATATATATATGTATGTATATATATCAAGATAGCACTTAACACTGTTAAATTATATATAAATCATCGAAGAAAGTTAATATATAGGCCCTGTCTCTTATACACCGAGGAGATGACAATGAATTACAGACTTAATAGAAAGACGTTGTCATCTCTTGGTCTTACTTACTGAGTTATAATTATGTATATGTGTATATGCTTATAGGCATTGTTATCCATGGGCCTATATTGTATCAGTATATGATGGGCAGATTGGTCGGTGGATGGAAAAGGCATGGCAGAGAGTTACACACGTACGCACGCACGCGCATCCAGACATATAAGTATTTCTGAAAAAGGTGACGTTAATATACCGTAGGTCAATTGAGAATACGTTGATGAAACACCCCGAGCCAAATGGCTATGTATATATAGCGTGCATATCTCTCAACCCTATATGAAATGAGTTGATAATTTATTGCCTACGCTTTTCCTAGTTAAATAGTGGCAAATAGACAGTTGATGAATCACATCTTAACATAGGGCAATGCAAAAAGCTGACGGATAAAATAATAACGATTGTCGTTCAATTAATTATGCAAATGGCCACGTGGTCTCCATACGGATACTTTGTCGTAAATTAGTCGCCTTGACTGACATCATGACTATAGTTTTTGTCATAAATGAATGCCGCTACCGCATATTTTTGTCTCTTTTCGGAAAGATCATAATCGCATGGTGAAGTTCACAGGTTACCGGTTGTGTGCGAATAACTATCAGTCTGTTGTGCTAAAGGATAGTCAAGGGGTCCTTGGGAGGAATTACCGTACAATTCCTTCATGGTATTACTATCACCCTATTGCCCGTCTAAATTTCTGTCCAGGCTATCACATTTTTTTCTTGACAAAAAGCTCTTGTATGCCCATATATAGAAATGATGTGTCTATACATGGTGATGATGTGATGTCATAATGGCCATATTTAGGCATGTCACGTGTTTTTG